AAGCAGTACCAATAATATTCTCCCCCTCTTTAGCCACAAATGGGCCAAAGATACATGTTCATAAAATTATACAGTTATCCAAAACAAAATAATGAGATCAGCAGCTGACAACAGCAGAACACACTACCAAACTCCACCAGCAACACCACCAAGCAGCAATCAACCTTCAAGCACTGTCATCAGATTCAGAGGAGCCAATTTCTTCAATGTTGAGCTGTCCTTCATCTTCTTCCCTTCTGCTTTCTTCAGCTTCCTCCTTTTCTAGCCTGGCAATTAGAGCTTCTAGGGTCCTTTTTCTAGCATCCAGATCTTTGCAAGTTTCTTTTAAAACAGCTATGACATCTGATGTTTTGGACTGGGTCTTTGCAGACGGTGTCTCAGCTGATGTTATGACAATGTCTGGAGCATGGGATCCCTGAAACAGTTTGTAGTGCAGGCCAAGGGCAGGAGCTCTTTTGCAGACTGTATCTCTTGCTACAAGGATGTCAGGGTATTGTGCAAGGATGATTCCACAAAGGAGGGAGGGAAAAGCAATTGGTCCTTTGACAGCATAACTGCCAACATGCTTCAAGGTTTGTTCAAAGATGTACCTTCCATAGTCAAAGGCAGTCTTGGTTCCTACAGCATAGATAAATCTCCCCAATCCTGTGGAGATGGTTGATTTGTGATTTGTAGGCACCCAGTTTGCTGCACCTATTTTATGCAAGATGGCAAATTTCATGCTGAGTTTACTAGCATTCAGCTTCCCTTTCAATGGCCAGCACTTTACTTGCCTGGCAGTGATGGTTAAACACACTTCATTGTCAGTTGCCTCTAGATCAGAACAGTCCTTATTTGTTCTTCCAAGAAACTTGTTGATTTCTGATGGAGAGAACTTGACCCTTCTTCCTCTAACAAACACACTCTCAAAGTCAGCTGACCTCCCATCAGCACAATCATTGGACAAGTTCACTACAAACTCCTTAACCAGATTTTCATAACATTTGTTAAACTTCATCACTGTCTTCATTAGCCCAGCATTCCTGATCAGATCCATAATGTCCTTGCACTCCAAGGCATCATTGTTGAGTTCTCTCTCCAAGGCTATTCTCTTCAAGCAGACATACTTCCATCTGTTTGCGTTGTCAGGATGATGAAAGGAGATGTTGTCTGTTGGCACTTCAGGCACTATAGCAATCTTGCTGGAAGGGAGCTTTCTTCTGATGGGAGCATCTTCAATATCAATCTCAAATTCTGATTCATCATCAGAATCAGAAGTTTCAGGTTCTTTACTTTTCTTAAAGGGACGTGTGGCCACTAAAGCAATGTTAAGACGCTTTAATGGTAATCCTAATGTCTTAGATCATTTTATTCGAGGCAACCGTTTCGAGGCAACTTATGATCTTTGGACAAAAGGACGACCTCTAACACATCCTATACTTAATGACCACGTTCAAGGCAACCAAGTGAGGCGTACCCTAGGAGTGGCATGTGCAAGTGTGTCAAGTTTCAGTTATATTATCTTTGCATGTCATGATGAGCTACTGTTGATTTTAAGTTAAGAGTTAATCTTGTCATGCATAGCCTAGTTAGCATACATCTAAACAGTTAATATATGTACATGAATTTAAAGTGCGGGAATTATAAATCCTACGCTATTACAAGGCTTCGGGGAGGGGGATTATTTACATGTCCAAAATTGGGGGAATAAAGCAGTAAAGTGTAAAAGTCTTAGTTAAGCTATTACAAACCAGTAGGCAGTTACAATAAAATAAACGCGCGCGAATCTGAACATAACCTCTAAAAATCCTAAGAATAAAATCTTTTTGTTGTTTTATTTTATTTTGAGAAAATGGTCTAAATCTACTAAATTTTAGTTTTGAGAAAATGTTAAGATAATTAAAAGGTTAATTAACAAAGTTAATTTAATAGAAAAAAAACTAGCCTAATGTTTTTGTGATTTTTTATTTATTTTAATGTTAATTAAAAAGATAAAAAGATGTCAATGAAAATAAAAATAAAATACAAGGGGGATCCTTCGATCCAGGGAAAAAAGGAGCTTAGAGCCAAGAAGGGAATGGAAGCTTCGATCCAAACAGGGTCATGGTTCTTTCGATTGGGCCAGGAAGTGGGCATGAACAGCCTTCGATCCAGGGAAGGGGATTTCCCTTCGATCCTGGGAAAAATGCCTTCTTCGATCCAGGAGGACTATGGGAAGCTTCGATCCAGAGAAGGTGTCTCCTTCGATCTGGGATGCTATACCTGCAAAAGTATGTTAGCAAAATAAAACTCAGGGCCTGGTATCGAACCCCCAGGCCCTTCGATCCTGCGTGCGCTGAGTCTTTTCAGGCTAAATCTGCAGCAAATGTTAGCAAACGAAGAACATGACCCGGGGCCAGACCCAAGCCCTTGGATTCTGTCTAGGATGGCAAATCGAATGGGATAGAAAATATGGAGGTGTTATGCAAAATGAAAAGTTTTGACAATTTACCCTCTCTTACCAGCAGATTGAATCTTCGATTTGGGTACTGGCTGGATGGGAGCACTTTCAATCCGAGGGCTTCTGGGCGTGGGCACCTTTGATCTGAAGGACTGCTTTGGCTTGGAAAATTCTGACAACCTTTGATGGATTGTATGGGCAGCGCCTCTCCAATGTTTTTTGTTCTCCTTTTCTTTTCTGTTCCCTGTCTGTTTCTTTACTATAATTTTTGTAATGTTTTTGTTCCCCCCCTTTGCACTGTATGCTGGCCCTGTATTTATCGGAGTGTGGGGGTCTAGTAACGGAAAGAGACATCTATTTAACCAGGCCATTAAAGCTATGAGACAAGAATCAGACACATTAAAATATTTCCTTTTTTGAAACATTCGTGTTCCTTGAATGAACCTGGACGCTTTTGACTTTCGAATGCCTTCAGGCCATGTCCTTCGATTGGTCTTGATTTGAACAGAATCACTCTGGTCGAATCAGCTCTTTAGGAACAGAAAAGGCAAGAATCTGGCCTTTAACTCAGGAATTAAATCCACAATCAGCATTTAATTATTTCTATATTTGCAAGGGAAACACGCCAGTTTCTCATGTTCAGTGTACCTGGACATGTTTTTTTTGAGTGGCCTCTTGATGGCTTTGTTAACAGGCCAATCGAAAGGCTTTGTTAACAGGTCAATCGAAAGGTGTTGTTCATGCTAATTGAAGGACATGGTTAACATGCCTGTCGAAGCTGCCTTGACACAATGCTAAATCGAAGGATCCCTTGGCATGCCAATTGAAATGCTTGGCCCAGGGTGCCAAACGAAAAGGTATTTCAGAATTCTAATCGAAGGGCTTTGACATAATACCAATCGAAAGGCTCATTCAGAATACCAATCGAAGGGTCTTTCAGAATGCCAATCGAAGGCCTTGTCCATAATGCCAATCGAAAGGCTCATTCAGAATACCAATCGAAGGGTCTTTCAGAATGCCAATCGAAGTGCTTGTCCATAATGCCAATCGAAATGCTCATTCAGAATACCAATCGAAGGGTCTTTCAGAATGCCAATCGAAAGGTACTTAAATCACCACTCAAAAATTTTCTTTTTCCTTAGGCAAGGGTTTGTGATCAACCATGCAGGGGGAAGACTTTGGAAAACATGAGAGGGCAACTTTTGGGGTACAACACCCTGTTAACGCCAAACTTCGCAAGAATCATCATCTATGATACCTCCAAATCATTCACAACCATTCGCACCGCTGTCGCATGGTTAATATGCGGAGGTGTAAAGAATGTACCAACGATCAGGATATGAAACAGGGCATCGACATCATTCAATGTGACCGTCATCTTCCCAAATAGAAGATGAAAAATGATGTCTTTGAATGTCACCTCTCAACAAAAGCAAACAATAGGGAGGTGTCCAATATGATCAAGGAGCATTGAGCAAACTTCAACAGCTGAAAATCTCTAACAATACTACTGACCTCCTCAGACATATCACCCTCTGAAAAGTTCTTCAACTTCGAACCATGGGAAGCGACCTTCAGCACCAGACGCTCTTGTAAGAAGCAAACATAAAATATTATAAAACTTTCAAACATTTGCAAAAATAAAATATTATACATCAACCAATTAAGATATATACTTCGCCATGCCATATCTTGTAAGCTACATGGTCAGTAAATCCTGTGAGCACGGACTTGTCTGAAGGTCCTCATGGAAAGGCTCCATCAGTATGAACTGATGGTTCCGTAGATGCACAAGTCGTGGTGTCTGTATCAGTGGGAGACACGCCGTCAACGCGCTCAACAACAACCTCCTGAACTTGCTCTACAACCTGCTCAACTGCCGACTCCACAACCTGCTCGACAACCGGCTCCACAACCTATTCAAAAAGAGGCTCCATAACCTGCTAAAGAATTGGCTCCACAAGAGACACAACCTCTTCAATAATCGACTTAATAACATACACATCCACATAAGTAGGAGCATGTACCTCCTCAATAATATAAATTCTAAATCCTCAAAGGCGGAGTGCATCCAACCATATTAAATTTATGAATTATATTTTGTTATGTTGCGTTTCTTTTATGAGCATGATGTTTGTTTGGATATTTTCTCTTACGTCCGAAGAAAATCGAACAAAACTTCTCACAACCGATTCGTAATTAATTAAAATTCATGAACCGTATTTTTTTCATTCATGGTTCGCCACAAAATGTACAGGCATATGTTGATCTTTATAAGTGTCCAATAGATTATAGTAAGGTAAATTCTTCATGGTAGAACTAATAATTTTATTGAAATCATCTCACATCCTTTTACAACACTAAATATTGTGTACCGACACAACATACAGATCCATATATGATACCAAACTGGAAATTACATTATCCAAACCACTCAAATTAAAGTGCAATTAGATGAACTGAATAGCAATAAATACACATAAATGACCCAAAAGCATAGGATAAAGCTAAGCAAAATGAATATCTCCATAATGCTTGTATGCTTATTATTATATTGTATTTATATTATATACACCTATGTTCAGCCAAAGAAATGGTGTTTCTTCTTTCCATGAGCTTCTTCCTCTTCCTCCTTTGTTTCTTTTTTCTCATGATGTTCATGAAAGGCAAATCCACCAGATCCCACTGCAGCGGCTGCTGCAACCTCTTCTTCTATCTTGTGCCTGTGAGCGTTCTCAGGATCCTTCTCTGACTTATGCTTCTCATACTATATCAAATCAGTTGCAGCAAATTAGTTTCAAAAAGGTGAAAACTCTATTAAAAAAGAGAAAAAAAGAACACAACTAGAGAAAAGAAACAAAGAGCAAAAATACATTATGAGAAAATAAATGATAAGTAAAGAGAGTTACCAAAGCATAGCCTCCAGCAGCTACAGCACCAAACTCACCAAGATGCTCAAGTTTCTTGTGATGTTTCTCCTCCTTCTTGTAATCAACTTCATCTTCACGATTATTTGTATCCTCGCCATAACCACCACCATAGCCACCACCGGTAGTTGTTTTGGTGTCAGAGTCACCATAACCACCGCCATAACCACCACCAGTAGTTGTGTTGATGTCAGAGTCACCATAGCCACCTCCACCGTAGCCGCCTCCGGTAGTTTTTCTGGCGTCAGAGTCATCATAGCCACCACCACCGTAGCCACCACCAGTAGTTTTTCTGGTATCAGAGTCACCATAGTCACCACCACCGTAACCACCACCGGTAGTTTTTCTGGTGTCAGAGCCACCATAGCCACCACCGGTGGTTGCTTGGGTGTCAGAGTATCCACTACCAGTACCACCATAGTTATCAGATGTTTCATAATTAGTTGTTGTTTTATTATAGCCAGTTTCATAGTCACCACCAGAATTTTCATTACCATAGGATGATTTTTCGTAACTAGATTCATTGTCACCACTAGAAAACTCATCATTGTGTGATGGTTTTCTGTAATTACCGGAGTCGTAGTCATCACCTGTAGGTCTCTTATCTTCATCCTTTTTGTGGTGGAAGAGGCCGCGGCTACGGTGCTCCTCTTCAGCCATGGTGTAGTTGTAAATGGATATATATTGAAAAATGAATTTATGGTGAGATTGATATGATGTTTGGAGAGGTTTAGTTCCCTATTTATAAAGTGGTGATCATGTTATACATGCTCGTTAACTTAACTTCTTTATTAATTTCTTGGTAGCCCATAAATGCTTTTGTTCAAGATTGAAAAATATGGGTGTATCCTATGCTGGTTAACTTTATTTTCTTTCACAAAATTTTATATTTTATTATTTTTTAATAAAAATATGATAATTACATCTGAATATTTTTTAAAAAGTAAAAATAAAAGAAATTTATATATTTATAATATTTTCATTTGAAAGTAATAAGAATCACATATAAATAATTGAATCTAAATTTTTTCCATATTAAAATCCAAATAGAATTGTCTCGTGATGAATTTCAACCACTAAAGAATTTCAACTACTAAAATATTGGACGAAAGGATTGAGTAGAATTTATAAAAGAAATATATAATAACCATATATTCTAAGTTCAGATTAAAAAGGAATGGAAAGATGTATTTTCTTAAATATTTGTTTTAGATTTTTATAAATTTAAAATTGTAGTAATAGAACTCTATTATCTATTTTAAAAGAAGAAGAAGGTTTCTCTTTTGATTTTCTAATTCACTTTATCAAGATTACATGTGATTGAAGCTTGTATAATAAAGGATATTACTTTTCATTGAATATAACGAAAAGTATTTGTTGTTATTTTTTTAAGGGAATATTTCTCGGTAAATACTCTTATTTACCCACCTAAAAAAGTTAGATAATTTTATTCATCTCAGTCGTCAAACGCAAAAATTCTTAGATATTTATTATGATTTGTCATGTTTTTATTCTTAAATAATTATATACTTTTAAATAATTATTTATTTATTTCAAATATATTAATGATAATTTATTATTTTATTTTAAAATAGAACAAAATCTTTTCACCTTCTTTTTACTTTTTCCTTGTTTATCGATTCATTTTACAATTTTTGTTTCTTCTTCTCCACTTTGATTCACTATTCATTAAACTCTTCCATTAAATCAATATCTTATTTCTTAACTTCATCAACTTCTTCTTTATCTTTACTACTCTCTCAATCAATCTCTTCTCTCTCACTCATACGTTTCATTACTATATCTATATTTTGCTAGATTTATATTCATTTTCATAAGATAATTTCTCTTTTTTCTCTCTTTAATTTTGTATTTGTTTTATGTTATTAATATTCTAGATGAGTAATTTTGTATTTGCTTTTTGTTATTAATGTTCATCGATGAGTAATTTTGTATTTACTTTCTTATTAATATTTATAAATGGGTTTTGTCTTTAAACAATGGTAGTTTGTGGATTATGTTTGTTGTGTTATTGTTGCTGTTATGAAATAATTCATGATAATGGGTTTATCAAAACTGTTTTGGACTGGGCCCATCCAGGTCCAAAGCATAGATAAAGGCCAAATTCAAGCAGATTCCTTGAGAAACGCGCACTCACGAATCACCGCCGACGTGTCCGACCACAGACTGTAGTAACGATGGTCGCTATTGTCCGCGACATATACTGTCCCCGACCAAGGGAACTCCTGCTCGAGCTCTGCTCGAGCGCTCTCCCCGTAGGGCAGACTCTGTCCATTCTAACCGTTATCAAACCCTCTAAACTCCGGAAAGACCGCGTCTTTGTCCCTCCTTATTCTTCGCAAGGCACCACCAGGAAGGGGACCACGTGCGGGGCCCCACTACACACGTAGAACCTGACAGTTCCTTTATTGGGCCAGTTCTGGTCAGCCCAGTGAGGGGACCTTGGCCCAGCGCTGGGGGCTATAAATACCCTCTGTTTCCAGAGGGTCAGGTAATCATCTATTACGCATACATACACTCTTTGCCTGCTCATTCCGTCACTCATTTTAGCATCGGAGTGCCTTGCAGGTACCCCCCTATCTCACTCAAATTCTGCCCGAGCCAGTCGTGACGGTCCAAGTCTGATCAGGTAAGATCAATGGCGCCGTCTATGGGAAACTAGCTTCCCCGTCTTGCAAAACCTCGAAGACCAAAGCTCAAAATCACCTCCTACCGTCATGGCTGACCAAGTCCGAGATGACCAGAACATCCGCGTCGTCGACACCAACAACAGCCCCGCAGATAAAAATAGAGTCCCCGACAACACCGGTAACCCCAGCCATATCACACTCCCCGGGTGCACTATCCCCGGGCCCTCAGTCCACCGCGACGGAGCTACTGCCTCATCTTCTTCAGTCCCTCCACTGCTCGAAGAAGACAACGCATCTCCCCCAAACTATCGAGCTGCCCAATTTCAGGAAGTCCCTGTCCCCGGCGGGGCAGACGCCACAACCCGCGCATTATTCGCGGCGATCAATCAAACCAATTACCTCATCTTTGCCCAGGGGGAAAGATTGAGGGCGCTAGAAGACGATAGAAGACCCGCGAGGAGACACAGGAGGCCCCAGACCCCACCTCCTCGAGTAACAGAGGTACATCTCCCGTCTCCCCCGCGGAGACAATACAGAGACACCTCCCGAAACCCGTCACCCCGACCCTCGGGGAGACGACCCCCCCTGGAAAGGCAACCCGTCATTGAAGCCGGAGGGTGCAACCATGGTCCCATACGGCAAGAAACAAGACACTCCGGAGACAGGCACGGAAGAATTGACCAACGAGCACCACACTCGAGGGATGCCCAACACGACCAGGACCGTCAGACACGACAATATTTCAGGTCCCCATCCCTGTCCCCGGAGCGAAGTGACGAAGACGACCCCCGTGGTCCCCTGTTGCAGGCCATCATGGAGGCGCCCATTCCCCCGGGCATGGAAAAGCCTCCACATCTGAAGGAATACGACAGAGTCGCGGACCCAGTCGACCACATAGACGGGTTCGAGGCTATGCTGCACTACCACAACGTCGGGGGACCTATCAAATGTCGGTTGTTCCCCACGACCCCCAGAAAGGCAGCAATGGATTGGTATAAAGGCCTCGCCCCAGGATCAATCACCTTGTGGCGAAACCTGAAGGATCAATTCATAAGTTCGTTCACTGCGTCTTGGCGACACCCAAAGACCGAGGCAGCACTCGAGGCCATCATCCAGAGACAGGATGAAACCTTGAGAGAATTAATCAATCGCTTCAATCGCAAAGCCATACAGGTCCCCTGCGCGGACCACATGAAAAGGTACTTGCTGGAGAGGGGCCTCCTCCCCGGCACATAATTTAGAAAGGCGGTGGGCATCGAACTGCCCCAAACATTCGATGCTCTCCTCGAGAAGGCCCAGGCATATATGGATTACGAGGAAAGGGAGGCGGCCAACAGAACCCGGGACCCTAGAACTCGCGGATCCAGCAGCAACCCGCGCCAAGAAGCCGCTCCTCCTCAACAAACTGGGGAGAAAAGGAAAGAGGACAGACCCCGAGAAGTCCGCGAACAGAGAGGACCCTCGGGGCGCTTCACAGAATACACTCCGCTCACAGCTTCCCGCGAGCGTATTTTGGCGGAGTGTGCCAGCATGGACTTCAAAGACGGCGGCGTCAAACGCCCCCGACCTGCTCCTGCCAAGCCCGGAGTAGACAAGAGCAAGTACTGTCAGTACCATAGGAGCCATGGTCATCTGACTGAAGACTGCGTCCACCTCAAGGACGCCATCGAAACCCTCATCAAGGAAGGGAGGCTCGCCCAATACCGGCGAAACGACACTCCTCGTCGTGACGCCCGGGAGACAAGAGAACCGGAGGAAAACGCCCGACCATCTGATGAGTCGGTCCCCGTCCAGACCGCCTTCTCCGTCACCAGACCAGAGGACTTCTACGTCCCCGAACACCTACAGGAGCCACTCACGACACACAGCAGGTGGGAATACTTTCCTTCCACCATGGTCATCAATGGTGGAGGATTCAACGACCTAACCATCAATTCGGCCAAGAGAAAGCTGGATGAACTGGTCGACTCGGCACCTCTGCAGACAGTGACCTTTGAAAGGGTGAAAGGTAGGTCGGAGCCTATCACCTTTTACCTCGAAGAGCTCCCCGGAGGAGCCCCCAACGCAATCATTCCTCTGCTGATAAGAGCAAGAATGACTAACTTTGACGTGCACCGTGTCCTCGTCGACGAAGCAAGTTCCGTCGACATGATGTACAGTCAATTATTCCGGACTCTGCAGCTAGACGACTCGCACCTCTCACCGTATGTAGGGTTAGACTTACAGGGCTTCAACGGCTCAACCTCTAAACCTTGGGGATATGTCGATCTCATGGTTACCTTCGGCGAGGGCACGGCGACGAGGCAGGTCAAGGTGCGCTTCCTCGTCATCGACTGCCCATCCCTCTACAACTGCATCCTGGGGAGACCAACACTAGCAGAGCTGACCGCGGTGTCCTCCACCGTCCACTTGAAGATGAAGTTCTACACCAAGAGGGCACAAGTTGCTACCATCCATGGGGACCTGGCCGCTGCTCGAAGGTGTTTCAACGCTGCATCCAAGGGACGCGGCACGGTCGACACTGGGACAAGGCCCGCCAAGAGACTAGCGACGACACGATAGGAGCCCGATAAATCAGAGTCCGCCAAAGCAGAAGACCAGAGAGCTCCCCCAAAGGTCGACTCCGTAGCTCTGGATACCCGTTTCGATCAAGACGAACCTCCCAACGGCGAGAAAATCCCCCTCCGACCAATCCCGGACGGGGACTTCGAGCTCGTCCCCCTCGGCGAGGACCCAAGCAAGGGAGTGAAGATTGGCACCGACCTCCCCGACCTGACGAGGAAGCAAATCAAAGCCTGCTTGCGCAAGAATGCTGACTTGTTCACGTGGAGCGCCACAGATATGCCCAGACTCGACCCCGAGGTCGCCTGTCACCGTCTCGCCATAGTTCCTTCCGCTAAGGCGGTAGTACAACATAGGCGTAGGCAGACTCCAGAGAAAATGGAGGCTGCTGAAAAAGCTGTAAAGGACCTCCTAGAGGCGAATTTTATTTCTGAAGCCCGGTATTCA